AGTTCTTTAAGGGTAATTTTCTTCCTATGCTTTACTTCCTGCAACTTATTTCGTATCTTGACAAGTTTTGTTTCAGGCAACCGCAACACGTGGGAATCTACTTCAATGCCATAAATTGTTAAAATGGTTGTTGGGAAATGGGTTTTTTCTTTTTTAATTGGAATACCCGCCTCATTGCATATTGACAGAAACTGTTGCAAATCTAGTAAGCATTTGTTGGAATCTTTTGGACCTATGAAGAAAAAATCATCAAGCATGTGAGACATGCCTGCAGCCTCAAATTTTGTGCACATTGCCCATTGTAGACCTTTACTAAGGGATTCGAATATCTGACAAGAGCTGCTAGCTCCCATGGGCAGACATTTATCATAATAGTAACAACCTTGCCATGAAAACCCAAGAAGTTTGTAATCTTTGGGGTGTATAGGTACGATCCGGAATGCATCCTGAATATCTGTTTTTGCCATGAGAGAATCCTTACCAAATTGTCTTAACAGGGCTGTGACATTGTCAATTGAATCATACTGAACAGTGGCACACTCTTGGGGGATTTGACTGTTAACAGAATTATGTTTTGGAAATGACAAATCGTGTATTACCCTAAATTTCCCTGGTTCGGATTTTGGTACCACTCCCAGGGGTGATGAAACAAAAAATTCAAATGGTGGGGATTTAAAGGGACCAGCAATTCTACCTTTCTGTATGCCTTGATCTATAAAATCATCTATGACAGATGGAAAATCGGTTGTACTTTTATGATTCCTTGAAATTGTTGGAGTTGGAAGACCTACATGTATACATCCTAGACTAAATCCCTGTCTAAAACCATCTATCAAAAATTTAAGTTTCTGTGGTTCATAACCCTCTAAGACTCTATGCAGATTTTTTGGTTTGATGGGTGTTGGGAGCTCTTGAGAAGCTTGATTTTTGAGTATCTGGGCATTTGGATTTGGGGTGGTTTGATTTGCACCGAATACAAATGTGTTTATAGGGGCAAGGGTTTCGACTGCATCGTTCACCTCTGTTAAATTGGAAACAGAATCTCGTACGAAAGGGTTGATTCTGTTGAGGCTTTGGACCTTGAAATTTTATAGTTGCAGCTTTGAGTCGCAATTCCTGAATGGGGTTTTGCCATGGAACGTTAACTGATTCTCTGAGTTTTCTGAACTGCTCATCATATAGTCTAAATGCATGGTCACCGTGCAAGGACTGCACTTCACGGATCATATGGCAGTATTTGAGAAGGTAAGGGGCCTCATCGGGAAATTTCTCAATAAAGATGGCTGAAAAAATGAGGAAAGCATCAGTCCCTGGCCCAGAGTGATGGGGACTTTGGTTTTTTGACCTTGATGTAAGTTAATGACCCCAGTAGAAATGGTTACTGAAAGAGGTTCATCTTTTGTGCTAAGTAGTGATTTTAAATCAATATATTCATTGTTCCAAATTTTTTGTTTCAACTTAAAAGACACTGAAGCACCTAATGGGATACCATCTTTTACCTCTATAACCTGATTGGATGACCTTGCTGGCTCACCTAAAAACAATTGATCGAGAATTGTTCCAATTCCAGCTGAAGATGCACTGCCTCCTTGGCCGGTCAGAGATACCTGAGGCTGAGTTGTTGATGTTGTAGCTATTGACTGACTCTGCTGGGATACCATTGATGATGTCACCGTGGATGGCTTGTTCACAGACTGTTGTTTTATTACGGCAGCTGCCAATTTGTCATAGTCTATGGAGGGGGTAGCGTTCGACTGTACCGTATTCACATTTGCTTCGGCATTTTCAACATTTGTCTCAGCCACCGCAGTAACATCAGCAGTATTTCCCACATTTCGCTTTTTACGAGTTTTCGACGAATTCCCCGATGTACCATATAATTTCCGCTTAGGAGGCATGGTGGTGACCTGAGAAAATTTATGTAATGAAGTAAAATCTGTAAATATCATAAATATGTTTGCAATATACACAAGTTATGCATACGAAGTCTGAACAATGCAGCATTATTGTATGCATTAAGTATAATAATGACAACACCTAATGCAGTCAATTGACAGTCAAAATACAAGACCTGATATTTTGTACAGGTATGATACTTGCATGTCTTGAAAGGAATGACATAAATTAATTGACTACGGTTTTGGTGATTACAATTTCATGGACAAATTGCCCCGAACTTTATATGCAAACAGAGAAATATGATATTAACCTGCACTTCCCGGAGCCGTACTGCATGATATTCATCTTAAAAGAATGTAAACTATGACAATATGCATATGCAGCAGCATGAATAATATGGAAATGCATAAAATTATGAACTTGCATAGAATATGATAAAATGAACTTGCTCTATTTATATAATGTGTTAGGTCCCACATAGAATTTAGAGCAAAGTAGTTAGGGCAAGTGCCCTGATCTGTGAGTGCATTGTTGCTAATGTAAAATGCGCATGGTCTCTCATAGAATTTAGATCAAATAATGATAAAATGATATATATCACTTGTGCGATGCTCATAATGACATATGCGTATGGTCCCGCATAGAATTAAGAGCAAATTATAATAAAATGAACATACTTATACATAAAATGTTCATGATAAATTATGCGTATGGTCCCGCATAGAAATAAGAGCAACTTATGACAAATGAACATGAACTGTTCACAAAGTAAAATGCTTATGGTCCCGCATTAAATAGTTAGCTCAAATTATGGCTAAACACAGGATTTGTAACTGCACTGTTCATAGAGTAAAATGCGTATGGTCCCGCACAGAATTAAAAACAAAATATGACAAGTGCCACCACCTGTTCTATGCCATTCATAATATAAAATGTGTATGGTCCCACATTTGTATTTATAAGAAGGGAGTATGATCCTGCATACTCAATTAAGTAGCCAAGCAATTTATATTGTAAAATGTGTAATAACACTTCCATATGGGTATGGTCCCACATAAGTACTAAAAGAAGCCACAACAATAAAATTTACCAAAAGATGTTTTGCTGGGTTTTAACTTCATCAGGGAAAATGAAAGTAAAACTATACATGTGGTCCTGCATAGTCACCACTATACTGAAAAATTGTGTATGGTCCCACAAATATCAAGTATTTCATTCTCATGCATTTTCACCTATTAAAAACCCAACAAAATACAAAGACAAGCCAGTCGATCAGTATGTATAATTAATATCATTCAAATTATACTGGCCTGAGAAAAGCTTTGAAGTGCAGTATTGCTGAACGAATGCTGCACCAATATCTGTGCATTGGGGAGGAAGACACAACATGGACTGGTGAACCTGGGCATTGTAGGTGTACCCCGTCATGACAGTGGAAGTTCAGGTCACTCCAAAATCCCCTGTGGTGCCAAAAATGGACCCCTTCTAGGTCGGAACATCCTGCCTTAAGAAAATTGTTTGCGGCAACGATTTTCGCATTAAAGTCGCCGGAGGACGCCCAAGGCTGACGACGCAACAGTTGACCGACAATCACAACTGGGATATCCATCCCCTCGTGTAAATAACTTGCTATTGAAAGGATATCCGTTGATAATTTTTCCATCTCATAGCGCAAAATGTCATTTTCGCCAATCTGAATAAAACACACATGTGGTTTGTTTTTAAATTTGATAAAATCCTTTAACTGGGACACACGTAATCCTCCTCGGGCACATACCCTCACATTAAAATTGTCCGAATCCAAATTTAGATTCATGAGACTTGAGTTTGAGTCCATGTAACGCTGGAGCCGAGACACAAATGAATGTCCTATTATGCAAACACTGAGACGCTTCACGTCGTCCATGTTGTGGTCCATCTCCCTTTTGTAACCGGTTATAACCGGATCGCGCACTGCACGGGCGGGCCGAGCCAAAATTAACAATTAGGGTAGTGCAAAAGCGTTTGTTTACACTCACCGTTCTCTGCCAAACAAAGATATATGATCGATATAATGTCACTAGATGTTCCTTGCAGATGAAGGACGTAGGTCATCAATAAACTTCGCAAAATCTTACAAATTTCACTGCACCAAATTTGTGTGGCTTCTATCAAAATTGAAGATTTTATGAGGGCATATTGCCCGAAATGAAATATTGATTATATGAAGAAAACTCATAAGATATAACATTGCAATGCCTTCAAATTTAGCTCAAAAATCAGCTGTTTAAAGTGACCACCCCTATGAAAGTTTCTTAGACTCGTCCATTTACAGGTGAATGACACACCTGAGTGACCACTAAACAATGCTTTCAATTTTGCAATTGTGATTTATAACAACACAATATTATTATTTCAATCCTTTAATGATTTTAATACTGGTATAACATTTTTTCCAGGACATTTCTGTGCAGCTCTATGACTCACATGGTCTCTTCACTCTGAAATATATTAGAATTAAAATTATATAACAAGGCCTAAATTAAAATATTGTTTGTTTCCCTTAGCCGACCCAGATTTTTAGCAATGGGTAGGTAGGTAGGAAAAATATTTTATTTTTTTTCTTTTTGACTTTTATAAAATTACTATTAAAATAAAAAAAATCAACATGTTCATATTCTTCCTTATTAGTCTAAGATCTTATGCTTCATGGAACAACAAAATGTACAAGTAGTACTTAAAAAAATCTGGTGTAAGCTATATATCTTGCTTTGCATGTCATCCTGCACCTACTTTTAATATAAAGCTTATTTTATGTAGTGTATGCACCTTCTGATCCTTAGCCACCCTCTGTAGTATGCTAGTTAGTTTATAACATAACTTCATGGTGGATGTCACAGTGCCTTATAACATATGGATCACTAACCAGTCCCTCTAAGCACTATAGATACTGGAGGTTCTAACTAGTACTGCACTTAGCAATGAACCTAACTTCATTCAGCACTAAGATTCTGTACTCTCATCCTTAGTAATTGACACTGAATATTCTTTGTTGAACACATTTAATACTTATCTTTAAAAGAAATCAAGTATTTAAACATCTGTCTGAATATGAAAACTTCTAAATAAATTGAGAAAAGAAATTCCCTACTTGAGAAAACATAGACATGCAATTACATTTTTTTTCTTAAAACATTACTGTTCATGTCGCTTTCATCTTAATATTACATAAAGGAATTTTGATTTGCATCTAAATTGGGTTTCTCTTAATGATAACTTTTTCACTTCTTTTGCACTGTGCACAAATTGGAAGAACAGTTCTAAATTTTTTTAATGTCTCCTTGTCCCTCTCGGCCTGTTCTCCTGCGCAGTGGCAACAGATGGTCTTGTTGACCCCCAAGGTATTGTTCTCGGCATAATACGGAAACTCAATGGGTGAGTTACAGTTTAACTGCATCCTTACACAGATGTTAAGGTTTTCAAAACCTGAAAGTATAACAATTTTTAGGTATATTTGCAACATAACATAGAATATCAATAATGTTTCCCTTTATTCAACATATGATTTTTCTTACTATTCAATATTCATCTAAAAAGTCTAGGTATTTTAAATATACAAACCATCTGGAACAATCTCTGACCCACAGCTGTAATCATACTTTTCCAGAATTCTGTGCACTGCTCTCATATCTTGGAGGGAGTGTTTACTCTTGGAGTATATGCATCGAGGCTTATTGCATTCATAACACCTCTTGATGAGCCTGACGTTCTGTGCAACCAACCCTGAATTCCTGATACCATATAATACCAAAATTCAATTAAAGAATAAATATTAAAATGCATTATTTTTTCTATAAATTCTCTGTACAAATTCTGTTTATTCACTCTATATACTTTATCCTTTAATACATATTTAATTTACATGTTTAATGAAATCACATGTTGACAATAAAATTACCTGAATTTGTTCAGCAACAGCTGTAGCCCTTGCATTTAATGCTGATGGCCTGTCCTTTTCTGATGTATCCTTACCAACTAGGTCTTCAAAATCTTGATAATGGTCTCTGTCATTTTCTTTGACCTCTGGATCTGGAATCCATGGAAATTCTGTTGCTCCTCTGTTTGGTCCACAACAGGTTATGTCCCCACATCTGTGAATCTGAAAGATGTATGTCCTCTCTCTACAGTGATCAGCAAGGAATTTCTGGTAGTCTGTTGGAAGAAATTATCCTATTATTACAAATCACAAATTCAAAACACAACGTACCTGGAGTCTGATATTAACAAGTTTTTTCTGCATCATTTTAAAATCATTTACACATACCTGCATTAGATTTCAAAAATCTTTCTTGATATTTCCCTAACTCTATATTGGGAAAAAGATTTCTGACAGTCTCCTCAAATGTTTTAACAGCCTGATCTGAAGCAGCTGAATGTACTTGAAAAGGTTGTCCTTTTAGCATCAGTCGCTCTGTTCTTTCTTCCAGAATTTCACGCAAAGGTCTTACAGCTTCCATCCAAGCAGGCTTTACCTCGGGATTTTTCTCAGCTTTTTTCCTTATGTCAGACATTGTATTTGCAGATTTTATCACTTGCTCAACTTCACTGGTGCTTTCCTCTCTGCATAGTGCCACATTCTGAATTGCAATGTTGAGAATTGACATGATTCTCTCAGCTGGGTTGAGCCAGCTATGTCCAGGAGCAGTTCTAGCTGCCACTAAGAAGTCTAGGTTTAGCTTTTTGAATAGAACAATGAGACTCAGTTTTACTGAATGGAATGTCACTCTGTGATCTGGGCCTCCATCAGAATAAAGTACCAAACCCTCAGGAATTTCTGTTTTCCCCTCCAACATCATTGATATCTCGGTAGCATGTCTCCATGGTGAGCTTGACTGAAAGATTGAATCCTTATAAGTAACATGTACTACTCCTCTGTAGAAGGAATCATCTTTTTTCTCAGGAATGTCAATTCCAAACACACGGATGGAGTCAATGACCCTTTACTTTGCATATCATGGTCTAGCGCACTTAAGTTTGACTGCATTGGAGCAATGGATTTTTTGCCACGTACACCTGTGGAAACATAAAGTCCAGGCTCACCAAAATCTACTTTGGATTTATCGTCAACACAAAGAAAGGTCACAGACGGCTTATATTTCACAGAAAAATGTCTGGAGTACTTAAACACTGCAGCACAGTAGTGATCGTCCTGATGACTAGATCTCAATTGGCGAGTCTGAACTTTGAATTGCAATGGTATCTTCGATTTGTAAAGTTTTGACACATTTGTATGGCTGTTTTTTGGGACAAATGCAAATAAAACAGTGCTCTCACTAGGTATATTTGTATGTTCTGGCAACTTAGAGGCGACTTGATTGATCAAATCCCTTACTGAAACAAATTGAGATAAGTGCTCCACATTGTGACGTCGTTCATCTGCAGCAGTCATATCTTCAATGATTTCAGAAAGTTTATCAAAAAATGAGTTAAATGTATCATTTGGACGGCCAGGATTCAAGTGCCTTAAATCGGTAACTATATCTGGGTCTTCTGACAATATAGCTTCTCTTATGCGATTTTCAATGCCTTTGTTTTGCTCAGCTGATGAGTCTAAAGTAAGCTCAGTGTAAATAACCCTCAGAACAGCAGGTGGAACTGAAACTGCAGGTAAGTTGCAAAATTTGGATACGAACATTTTTCTCATCTGTCTTGTATGAAACTCTGGTAGTAAAACCCTAATTTTCTCATACACCTGAACAGAACACTGCATCACTTCATCAGTAGCTCTTTCTTCGTTTGTCCTCCACAGGACAATGGTACTTCCAACTGCCCCACCTGGGTTGTAAGTAAGAATGTCAACAGGGACGGATAACTTCAAATATTTTAAAAAGTTCCATCTTTGTTGACTATCCATAGGTTTCTGAAAACTTGTGTGTTTTTTCTCATCATAAAGCAAGTATGAGTATTTTTCACGCCTTGCCATTATGTCATCCAGAATGGAATATTGTGGAAAAACTACATCTGTTTTTGAGGTTCTATGTTCCAAAAAGGCATGGTCTCCAACTTGTCGAACTGGGTGATCTAAAATCTGACGTTTCTGCTGGGCATCATTTGACATATCCAGGAAAGTGGCATACGCATCAAGGGATATAGCTAAATGTTCCAGGTCTCTCCGAAATTCTCCCCACTGGGCAGTAAACGCACACGTTACTATGTTGAACAAAGCTGAGCTATGTTTCTTTATCTCAGTTGACTGAATTGAAGGAGCCTTCTGTTTCTTTTTTTTCCAATCATTGAGTCCTTTAAAAGAAGACTGAAGAAACCTGAAAAAGAAGCATAATTGTAAACAGAGATATCTTTCTAATTATTTTCTATAAATAAATAGATTTTCATTTTAGAATTATAATAAAAAATTACAATTTTTATCACAATAAAATGCCTATGATTTTAGTAGGAACATGCTCTCCCCTAGCCCCTTTCTGAAAGTATGATTCTGAACATCTGAAAGTTTAGATATACAGAGATATCTTTTATATATTGTATCTGATAAAGTGTGCTATATTTTGATACATGATCAATCTACAAAATACAACAGGCTAAATTTTAAAGAGAAAATCATAGCACTTATGCCAACTGACAGACAACCTTTTAGGAACTGGTTTGACGTCTTTGTAATGTAAACTTCTCTCCATTATTTTTTCCATGTTTCCATCCAAGTACCATAATACATCAGTTATTGCAGATACGTGTTTTCTAATTACGTCGTTTGTCATCGACAGAGGAAATTCAGCTCCACATTTGGCCATTTCATCACAGATATTATTGTACATTTTGTCTTTCCCTAAAATGGAAACAAAATAATATTTAATTAATATTTAATATATTGCCGAACTATCTGTAGCACATGCCAAGAAATGGTAGGGTATAACGGCAATTTATCTTCATTTACTTGCAGCAATACATTGGAAATAAATATTAATGTCTATACCTGTAAAACGCAGTGAATTTTGGTCTTTTAGGGGTGGCGGTTTCCTCTTCGTTGATGACTCCATCATTTCTGTGAATGCTGTTCTTTTTTTTCCCTGGGGCTGATCCTTTAAATCTAACTCTAATCCTACACTCTCGTCCCTTTCTACTTTGAAACGTACACATTTTAAAAGATTGTTAAAATTTTTCATAGTCAGCAATGGCTCTTGTAAGTCTGGGTGAAAACAATCGGGACTGTTTAGTTTTTCTGAAATAGTAACGGTAACTCTGTCCGTTTTATGCACGTGATAGTCTGAACATTCATTGGCAAGATCGACATATATATCTGCAAATGTTGTTTCATACATAGTACTCTAAAAGTCTGTTTATACAAATCTGTTTTGAATTGCCAGCACATGTTGCGGTTATAGAGGCACACACGGTGAAGCAATCCTCGTCTGAAAGTGACTTGAAGGTAGACAAACTCCTTTTTACCGCCATGCTGTCAAACATACCGCCATTCTGTCAACATTTAACGAAGTTCCTAATCTCAATCATCAACACGCTTTATACAATTGGGGAAAGGGAGAATCAAAGCGTCTAAATAACCTAACACAGGTTTTGGTGAAAAAAGCTAAACGGATAAAAACGGATAAAGATACGAATCAAATAAAAAAAATATTTTTGTGAAAATTGAAATAAAATATTTTGAGTCGGGCTAATTTTCGCGGGTCGGTCGGCTAAGGGCAAACAAACAATATTTTAATTTAGGCCCAATGTAACTGGGTGGGTTGTGGAGGGATTGCAATGTTATATCTTATGAGTTTTCTTCATACAATCAATATTTCATTTCGGGCAATATGCCCTCATAAAATCTTCAATTATATTTCAGAAAACATCATAAGATATAACATTGCAGGTTCAAAGCTCCAACTAACCTAAAGTCAAAACTGCTTTGGAAAATCCATCTGATTTATCTAAGCATGTAGACCTACAATAAAATTTATAAAAGGTTCCTGCATGTGACCAGTCTGCCATTTCTAATACCTCATTTACAGATGTACCTTTTTTAAAGGCCTTACTGGTTGATGCACTACGAGCTGAATGAGGCTTAAATTTAGCAGTATCAATACCTGCCATGGCCATAACATCCCTTATCCAATTTGAAACTGTATTAGCTGTTAAACCTTTATGTGGTTTAATAACCGACCGTAATATTGGATCACCTGAATGCTCATTACGAGTCCTAAATGTCTTTGTTCTGTGTAAATACTCAAGTAAACATTCAACTACACACAGATTTTTATGATCTGGAAAACGTGCATAGAACACTTCTTTTGAACGGCAATCTCTTTGCGTCTTTGACAACCCTGGCAAAAGAAATTTAACACCTGATGGTATAACTTGCAGGAACCCCTTATCTAATCTTGCTATTTCTGAAACTCTTTTGGGGGCAGCAATAGCTAGAAGCATAGCCAACTTTTTTGACAAGAGTTTTAGAGACAGTTCTTCATTACTTGGGAGAGAAATAAAATAATTTAAAACCTTATCTACATCCCATGTCTCTTTATATCTTGGTAAGGGGGGATTTCCTCTTAAAATACCTCTCATTAGAAGTTTTACCATGGAATGCTGACCAATGGGCAAATTATTGACATGAGGCATCACGGAGGAAAGAGCAGATCTGTGAACATTAATTGTTCTATATTGAAACTCCTCATAATACAAATAGCTTAAAAAATCTAATACAAAGCTTATAGGGGCTGAAAATGGATCAACCTCCCTTCTGACACACCAGCTAACCCACTTTTTCCAGGCTGAATTGTAAGAAGATGTTGTGCCCTTTCCCCATGAGTTACAGATGAGATCTTCAGTCTCTTGCGATAAGTGCATTGTTTGCATGGATCTCCTGAGACAACCCATCCGACTAACTGGAGTGAGTTGTTTCTCACTAGTGGGTGAGGTTCTCCCTTGTCTGACATTAGGAGATTGGGAATTATTGGGAGGAGAATGGGATCCTGAATGCACATCTTCAGAATCGTTGCATACCATGGTTGGGCTGACCATGCTGGGGTTACTAGGAGAATCGTTGCTTTTTCCCTCTGAATCTTGCTCAGACATTGAGAAATGAGACAAAACGGGGGAAATGCATACCCCCTTATTCCCACCCAGGGATGCAACAGTGCATTGTGTGCCATTGCTTCTGGATCTGGCATCCAACTGATGAACTTGTCTAGTTTTGCATTGGTTCTGTCTGCAAACAGATCTACTTTGCAATCTATTGTTTTGTTCATTAGAATTTGAAATATGTATGGATCTAACCCCCAACTGCTTGAGTCCTTGTGATGTCTGGACTCCCAGTCTGCTATGACATTTTCCTTTCCCGGAATGAATTCTGCTCTCATTGAGATACTCTTTTTCAGACACCATTCCCAGAGATCTAATGCTAACTGATTGCACATCTTGGATACTGTTCCACCCATTTTGTTGATGTAAGTCATCGCTGTTTTGTTGTCTGTTTGAATAAGAACAGCCATGTTTGTTTCTTGTTTCAAAAATGCCTTTACTGCATGCGTTATTGCTAAAAGCTCTAGAACATTTATGTGATAATGAATCTCGCTTTGTAACCTTACACCCCCTATTCTGACATTTTTGCAAGTTGCCCCCCAACCTAGATTGCTTGCATCTGTCTGTATAACTACTGATGGCTGATTCATTACAATACTCTTCCCATTTGTGTCGTTTAAATGGTGAATCCACCAGAGTAGATCTCTCTGGGCTTCTAGAGTTAAGAAGACTTGAGCATTGTAATCTTGATATTGACTGAAAATTTGGTTCTTTGCCATTTGTAGATGGCGATAATGTAACGGGGCTGGGTATACTGCTTGAATGCTTGCTGTGAGATTTCCTATCACTTCTGACAATTTCCTTACTGAAACAGGATTTGAACTGAAAACCTCTTGACAAATTGTTCTTATCTTCTTTGTCTTCTCTAATGGTAAGGAGAGTGTCATTATACTGGAGTCTATCTTGAATCCCAGATATTCTAGAACTTGGGAAGGGACTAAATTTGATTTCTTGAAATTTATCAGAAACCCTAAACTTTCTAGTAAATTGACTGCTCTCTCGCCATCTATCAATGCCCCCTCCTTGGTCTGATTCATGATCAGAATATCGTCCAGGAAAATCACTAATCTCACCCCTAACCTTCGAAGGTAACTCATGGGAACTTTCATTAATTTGGTGAAAACCCAAGGGGCTACTGTTATCCCAAATGGAAGACAAAGGAATTGATACACTTTCCCTTCCCAAATAAATCTGAGATATTTTTGATCTTCTTTTATAATGGGAATTATGAAATAAGCATCTTTCAGGTCTATTTTTATTAGCCAGTCCCCTTTTTGAATCATATCCCGTACTAGATTGATTCCCTCCATTTTGAAATGTCTGTATATCATGTAACCATTTAATTCTTTCAGGTTTATTACAGGTCTTTGCCCCCTCCCTTTTTCTCTACAAGAAATATGGGGCTTATGAACCCGTCCAATGTGTCTTCCATTTGTAAAATTGCTCTCTTTTCTAAGATGTTGAGAATTTCTTGGTTTACCAATGCATTCTTTTCCTTGGAAAATCCCTTGAAATGAGGAAGATTCACTTGAACGGGGGGATTTTGAAAGAATTCTAGTTTTAAGCCTAGCACTGTTTCTAGAACCCAGCAATCTTTTGACAGATTTTCCCAGTTTTGATGGAAATATTTCAACCTCCCCCCCACAGGGATATTCTTGAGATTTTCTGTCAAAACAGGAAATTTTAATTCTGAGGTGATTGGCCTTACCTTCATTTCTACTGATTTTCTGTCTTTCTGGAAAGAGGAAACTTTGCTGAACCTCTGCCTCTCTGGCTCTGTTGTCCTCTGTAGTTGTGGCCCCCAAACTGGTATCTGTTGTTTGAGGGCCCTGTCCGAAAAAACCGCTGGGGTCGACCTGCACCATTTCTGAAAGAGTTCCTTCTCTCGTTATTGTTATCATAGAAATAAGAGTTCTTATTGTCAGACTTGAATCGTTTTCTTTGTGGAAGAAGATCTGAAATCTCTCTATTATCTTTACTGTCTTTAGCTAACAGCTTCCTAAATGTGTTTCCAAACAGTTTATCTTTTGATTTTCTTAATGCTTTCTTTCCAGAACTGTCCTCAATTAGGTCAACACACTCTGGTACAAGTTTGCCTAATAAGGTCTTGCGTCTGTCTGTGAGATACACATAATGAGCATTTCCAATAAACACTAATGCTCTCTGTACAATATTTATAACATCATTGGGGTCTATGCCTTTATTAGCTTTTCTGACCTTTTCAGCTTCATGTCAAAGTATGGCTAATGGACCAGTAGCATCAAGAATGCGATTTTGTGTATTTATTATAATTTTCTCTTTTTTGTTGGACATGGCCTGATTGAATCTTTTCCTAAAAAGTTTTTTAATGATTCTTTCAGTTTCTTTTGATTTTAATCTTTTTGTGTTTGGTGTTTTACAGTTCTTTGTTATTTCTTGTCGAGTAGCTTTGGTAATGCCATTGTTAGCATACTTCTCAATGTATTTCGTTATTTTCTTTGGTAATTTCTCACCTCCCTTCATCTTCAAAACCTGTGAAGGATTGAATATATCTGAATCTGAATCTGACTCGGAATCATTTGAACTACTGCTGTCATCTGAACTTGATTCTTCTGAATCGCTATCGCTCTCCTTCTCACGCTTTCTCTTTCTACTTTCACTTTTGGATGCATTAACTCGTTCGTTTCTCCATTCTCTTCCCGAACCTTCATCAGAGTGAGGTTCTTCATTAGTGCCCTGAATCGGCGTACAAGCATTATTAGTGCCCCGTATTGGCGTATTTCTTGTGCCCCGTATTGGCGTATCTTTTGTGCCCCTTATTGGCGTATTTTTGTCTTTATTGCCCTGAATTGGCGTTTGCTCATAATCACTTTCTGCATCGTCGGAAATTTGCTCGTTTTCCGAAACACAAACCTGCAGTCTATCAGAAGACGGTGTTCTTCTCCCTAAGGCATCTGGGGAGAAAAGCTGACTTTGCGCCATTCTAAACGTCTGCAATGCCTATAAAAACATGCGAAACGTGGAGCGATAAACTTACGTCCACTCACTTGTAGAGCTAAAATTAAAAGCATTGTTTAGTGGTCTCTCAGGTGTGTCATTCACCTGTAAATGGACGAGTCTAAAAAACTTTCATAGGGGTGGTCACTTTAAACAGCTGATTTTTGAGCTAAATTTGAAGGCATTGCAATGTTATATCTTATGATGTTTTCTGAAATATAATTCAATGAATGCAGCATGGCAGATTGCTGAATTATGATTGGCTAAAAGGCAAAATTTTGGGTTAGGTTAAAACTAGGCCACAAGACGTTTACACCCGTAAGACGGATAGGGGTAAAATAAGTGAAAACTAAATAAACACTGCACATGTCACATAAAAGTTATTACTTACAATAATCACTAATTTAAACAGATTTAGTAAGAATCATATTTTCAAATAGAGAATAAAATAAAAGTGTCATATTCTAATACTGTATACAGGGTAATTGTTGAACCGTGTTATTTACACCCTTTCACAATTACAAACAATTTTGCCCCGTTTTAAATTCGCTTAGTCACAGTATTGTTTGAGAAATAATACTGTGTTCTTTTAATTCGCTCCGTTTTAAATTCGCCCGCCTATTAAAGGGTGACAGGAGCGAAAATAAAACAGGGGCGAAAATTCCCGTGTACACAGTAATTTGACGATGATTTGTAAGAAATTCTATGATGATGTTTTGCAACCAAAACTACGATGCATTTTCTACATGAATCTAATAGGAAAATCTTTTGAAATGAGAATTTATTCACCGGTGTTGTGTACACAGACTGCAAAGTATTAATTTTATCGCAGTAGTCCACGAACTTTAAAATACATTGATATCTACGGTTTTCACTCATTTGGATTTTTTGTTTTGATTTTTTGTGCTCTCTGTACAATTGAATTTTGCTTTTTAACTTTATCTCACTTACGTTGAGTTCCACAGCTTTGTAGAGAAACGACGAATTGTTCTACAATAAAATTAAGATGAACATTTATTACAACATATCAATTTGAATCGTTTAAGCGTTTCTATTTCTTTAATAGAAGCTGATAGTGTTAATTTAAAGATCAATTGATTGTATTTAGTTTTGCAACCTGTTCGAAAATTCTTCACCCATGAATAATGGCTAATATAGAGACGTCATCATTTATACCGATGTAGAGCTTAGATTTTAGACTTATACTTGGCACTTGTTAAAAGCAATTGAACAGTTATGTATCTTTATGTCGTGGCACGGGGTTTCGGTTTTAAAGGTCTCAACCAAGGACCTACAACTTTCAATCCAAAGAGCCGATCGCTTTGCGAAGGAATAGAAACACATTTTTTATCGAATTAGGTCAGTCGCGACCTTCCAATAACAAAGCGAGTTCTATACCAAATGAGCTACTGTGATGGTTCAATTCCATTCAAGGGAAACATAATTATTGATATTTTAATACCAAAATCATTTGTAATCATTTGCTGTGGCCTTCAACTCGACATTTATATATATCGACGACGTATTGTCAATTAATAATGATAATTTCCATTCCTACGTCGATACGATATATCCTGGTGAGCTTGAGATAAAAGATACCACAGAGTCCGACACTTCTGCTTCATACTTGGATATTTTACTAGAAAAAGACATTAATGGTAATCTAACAACCAAGCTCTATGATAAACGTGATGACTTTAACTTTTCTATCGTCAACTTCCTTTACTTATGCAGCAATATACCTTCATCACCTGCATACGGAGTATATATATCTCAGTTGATTCGATACGCAAGAGTGTGCCCTACGTATGAACAATTTCTTAAACGAGGTAAATTATTGACAAGCAAGTTGATGAAACAAGAATATCAACAGTCTCGTTTAAGGTCATCATTTCGTAAATTCTATGGTCGATACAATGACCTTGTCAGCAAATACAATTTATCATTGAGTCAAATGCTGACTGACGTTTTTCATACCAATTGTTAGTCCATTATTTATACACTGAATTGACGACGGATTTTTTCCGTTATTTACTGATCATGACAACGAGCACACGGGGGTGTGACCGGTTGGCAGGGGATGCTCACTCCTCCATGGCACCTGATCCCACCTCTGATGTTTCGGAGGTCCGTGTTTGCTCTGCTCTTATTTTGTATATTGTTTAATGGACGTTGAGATTGAATACTGTTCATTATCTCCATATCCTTCTTGTATTTCATGCAAATCTAAAGATTTGCAATGCTTTAATCATTATGAATAACACTTACAATCATTCTTGCATTCAGTCCAAACTTAGGCCAGTCACCTTCCTACATTGTAGAAAATTAAAAGGCTTAAACAAAAGAATTGTAAAAACTTATATCAAACAATTCAAATTCCCTTGTCATTGGTCATTTGCAAAATTATTTGGTTAAAAAACAAAAAGATGCTTGAGTTCTGACTGACAATATCTATATTATTTTTGGAGACTAGGTCTTCCAACAATCTATTGGAATTCCCATGTGTACCATTTGCGTTCCGTTACTAGCAGACCTATTTTTGTATTCATGTGAAGCAGAATTTGTATAAAATCTTATGCGTGAAAAGAAGAAAACACTTTCACTCGACATTTAGATAAATCGACGACTTATTGTTAATTAACAATGGTAATTTTCATTTTTATATCGATACGATATATCCTGGTGAGCTTTAGATACAAGATACTACAGAGTCTGACACATTTAATTCACATTTGGATATTTTACTTGAAAAAGACGTTAATGATAATTAAACAACCAATCTCTCTGATAAACGTGATGACTTTAATTTTTCTATCGTCAAGTACCCTTACTTAAGCAGCAATATTTCTTCATCACCTGTATTCGGAGTTTATATATTTCAGTTGATTTGAAACGCAAGAGCATGCCGAACGAGTTGATGTAACAAGAATTTCAACAATCTCGTTTAAAGTCATCATTTCGTAAGTTCTATGGTCGAAGCAATGCTATTGTCAGCATATATAATTTATCAGTGAGTCAAATGAAGGTATGGACGGTTGGCAGGGGGTGCTCACTCCTCCATGGCACCTGATCCCACCTCAGGTGCTTTCGAGGTCTGTGTTTGCTCTGTTCCTATTTGTATTGTTTTAAGGACTTTTGATCTTGAATACTGTTCATTATCTCCATATGTTTTATGTGGTAAGTTTGTCTTAAAATCAGAAAACTGTTTGGTTTTTTATGGAAATTATATTGATTTTGAGAGATGTATTATGATCATATTGCTCATGTATGAAAAAGTAAGCTTTACAGTGTTTATGATTTGAAGGTAATTGATAACATTGCATATTGTCAGTTCTTTTGTGTTTGCTTATTAAGGCGATCTGTGTTTCTTGTAGTATTGGAATATGTTTGGTTGATATTCTGATTTTTTTTCTAAATGTCCAGATTGTTGATCCGTATTTAATTGACGAATAAATCAAATTTTCAACATATTAGGTGTTTCTGTTATGTGGAGGAAATTGAAGGTTGAGACATAAAAAAGGCCATGAAATTCACAATTTTGAAGAGACAACATTGCTCATTAAAACTATACATTTGGCATGTTTACTTTAGTACAGAGACAAATCAGGGGAACAAAGAAAAATATGCTTTTTATAATCAGCAGTGCTCAACCCCATGGGAACCCCACACATTGCACAATTTTTGCTAATCATCATTTTTTATTAATACTAACAGTTTATCAGCTTAATAACCAACAGCAGAGAAGATTTTCAAAGAATCAATGCATTTTTACTATATCATCATAAGTCTAATATGACTTCATGATTATTGTCCCCAATGAGTGTTATGAACTGATCGGCCTGATGAAAGATATGTTAATAATGTTATAATGTATCTAACTTATTTTGTCATGTGTTTATAATATACATATATTTACACTGAAGTTAATCTCTGATTTGATATTAGGTGTAACTTTTGTACATATTTGGTTTTTTATGGCATTGTAATAAATGCCCATTTACAAAAACATTTTGTTTTTATATTTGCAAAAACAGAGTAGAATCATGGATGGAGAAAATGGATTATATTGAGGAAAGTTGAAGACGATTGTAGAATCAAATGCATTGTAGCAGTAAAAAATCAAACATCATAGAAAGTTCAAAAGCATGATATGAATTCTTGATTCAACATTGAATACTTTCTATTCTAGCGTCTGTTGACAACACAGAGTCTTCTTTTGCCATCTATTAAACTGATCATTAACAGTCACTGAAAGTTCTGGTACATTAAGATAGCTAGTCATTCAGCCAAGTTTCTGAATTTCTTCTAAAACTTTTCAGTAAAGTTCCTGTTGCTTCTAGTAGGGGTTCATCGTGTGTGTGTGTGTTGTACAAAATATTGAAGAAAAGCTAATGTTTTTCATGAGATTTAGTACATGACTTTGGATAGGTGTTTGCTACGATATGACACCTAAAATATGTTTTAAAAATTAAAGAAAACCTCAGTTTGCTATTAAAGATGAAAATGCTCGACCACATAACATGAAGATACCCTCCAGATAACGGTAAAATACTTTGTCGATCAATCATATAGTATTGCACGAGTATTGACGCGTTCTTGAATATGACAGGGCTTATATAGGCTATGCCTGCTGTCCGATCCATTTATGTATTTATTACAATAAAAAATGTTCAAATCAAATCAATATGACAGGAATTCAACGAAATTAGAATTTTTAAAACTTAAACGTTAACATGACCAGTAAGTGCTAATTAATCAATTCCAATCCTGGCCACTACAGGGACATATACTAAGTAATTCATTTCAATGTTCATAAAAACTAAAACAATACTTTGTAACACGCTGATGAGAATTTTTGGAGAATATCAACCTTCGGATCTATGGAATCCGGAGAGGGTAAGTTGTTCACATGTACCGCACCATCAGTCATGGAGGTTAGGTTTTATGATAGCGATGCGATGATTAGATAAGGCGATAACTACAAC